TTTATTCTATCAAAAAGTGGTGATATAATTCAAGTTGGGATTTAACCCAATGGAGATATAACCCAAGTATGACTGTAGTATTTACATTTGTACCATGTTTCAGTAAAAGATGGTAATTACCACTTCGAGCTGCATAATGCTATACGAATGGTTAAAAATCAGAAGTTAGCGAGTTCCAATGTCAAATTGCAATAAACAAAAAAAAAAAAAAAAATTAAATTGTAAGAAAATATTTTTTAAATACCAAAGGAATATATCCAGCGGCATCAATTTGATTCGTAATTGCGCTACCTTTCTTTGAAATAATCGACTTGCAAAATATTACCAGTTAAAGATGCATTAGAGAGTATGATCTGTGTAAAAACCAAACACCAACTATAGAACATAGCATGTAATCATGGATATACTATATCTACCATATTGTAGCTTTTAAAAACTTGGCCGAATAACCTATATTCAAAAAAAATAAAAAACTAACTGTAAGTATTGTTGCTTCAATTGCTATTTTCAGGTTTTTTTTTTAATAAAAACATAAAACTTGGTACAAATCACCTTGCTGATTGCTGATTTACCTTAACCTATAAGACAAAAAGTGCACCCGTCACTGACTTCTGGATTATTCCTACGTTCTCCGGATTATTTTACTGTAGGTAGAATAAAAGGTGTAGCTTCAGAATTTATATATCATACCCTTTGACAATTCGTTTTCATAGCTGTAGTCAGATGAGATATGCGGTATAATATGTATAGTGATTGACCAATCCGAATTAAAGCCCACTATGCCTACGTACGTACTTACGTACGTATGCGAGACAAATGGGTTCTTTCACAGCAAAACCATGCTTAGAGCTATATGCTCAAAGCGCAAATGTAATTTATTTAAACACATTTGTACGTACATACGTACGTCATTCATTATATAATAAACTTTATTCTGAATTTCGAAAAAGATCTTCACGATTAACCAAAAATAAGAAATAAAACATTATATCAGTTCCTTTACTGTATAAAGAAGAGTGGTATTAAACACTGAAATAAACCGTTTTTTTTTTTTTTTTGAACCAGATCAGAACTAGACTAAGCAAGTTTCTAAAATTCTTCGGCAATTATAATATTTTACTTGCGTGACATACTACATATGGTACTTATACTACTACATACGGCACTTATATGGCATACTGCACTTATACGGCAAAATACACTTATACGGCACATGACACTTTTGCTTATACGGCAAATGTGCCGTATGCCATGGTATTTGTGCTGAGGGTAGCTACCCTCAAGATTTTAAATGTCTGCATCTCTAATTATACCCAATATAATATAATTTTTATATAGTAGAAATTAAAAATTATAAGTGTTATACAATTATTTATATTATATATTATAGAAATATTATTATAATACTATAGCACTGTAGTAGAACTCTGAATAATTCTAAAAAAGCTATGATTATTAAACCGGATTTTTTTGGGTTACGTGACTCTAAATTCTGATTAAAACAAACTTTAACTTTGTTTTGAATAGTATTTAGAGTCACGTGGCCCAAAAATGTCTAGTTTAATAATTATAACTTTGTTAAAATTACCCAGAGTTCTATTGTAGTACTACTCTATATATAAAAATTAGTGTAATATATAAATCAAAACAATCTAATTTTTACAAAAAATAAAACTATTAACCCATTTTATATTTGCTTTAGATAGGTCAGATTTTAACTCAAAGAACATAGAAAAATTGTTCAATTTTAGTAAAAGATTAACTTAAACAACAAAGAGATTAAGAAACAAGACTTTTAACAAATAATTATAAAATACTAAAAAATATAATTTAAAATTTTAAAAGGGTTTATATAGATTTTTTTGAATAAATTATATTTTATTAATTTTTGCATAAAATTATTTATAAATTTGGTATGTCACTTATTTGACCAATAAGTAACTGCAACTATTAGAACATGTCTTGTGACTACTAGTAGAAATGTTCTAAAAAGATATCAGGTTTGTGTATTACACTTTATATTCTAATAGGCTTTGTCAAATAAATTATCCTGAAATCTATAATGACCAAATTCCTAAAACCATCGGTTAGAATGAATGTCACGTGACACATAACACGTAGGAAAATTCTAATACTTATTGTCTATATTGGCCAATGACATTGACTATAATGCATCCATAACGGATTTGATTTAAAAGTTCTAGAGATTGCCTTATCTGCTTTATCAAGTACCCACTTGCTTAGGTACATGCAAGGCTCATTTGATGTAGCACCGTACACCCAAACCTTATCTGAAGTCCAAAAATCATCGCTCGAGTTTTTTATTGGCATTACGACATATGGGCCTCTTCGGTGAGAAACTTTTGACGACCATCCTGCAGCAGTATAACCGAATGTTGAACCATATGTAATCACCAAATCATCACACAAACTAAGCAACTTCATATCGATAAGAGCACCTATTTCCGTACCAGTGTTCGAATTAAAAGGATTTGGAGCATCCATATTATCATCAGTATGAACTATATTAATAGAATTGTTATTATAAATAATTATTTCATCAAGTAAATTTACTAATTTTTTACGACCATTATTACTATCAGCAGACACAAAGATAGTTATATTCGTGTTTTTCATTCCTAAAATCAGCATTTTCACTACCTCACTAAAATGATCTATGGGTGTTATTAAACGATTTGTTGTCTTTTTCTCTCTTAAATGAATACCTATATTATAATCCTTAAAATTATTGTCCGCAAAAATCTCTACTTGTTTGCTGATATTTGGATGCAATCTTATTAATTTTAGGCTGATAGCCGTAAAAACTCTAGAATCAGGTATTAATTTATTAAACCATTCCTTATAATGAGGGTTTGACGTTATTGGAGCACATGCGTAATCCCAAGTGGCAACATATAAAATATCAGTTTTATCATTGCTAAGGTTTCCAGTCGCCACCAACTGAAAATCATTATATACATTACGTTTATGTAAATGTCTAGAGGAGCTATTTTTATACATGTTTTCAACAATTTTCCAATTGTGTTCAAAGTCTTTCTCATAATAACTTGAGAAATTATCATATCCATCAATAAAGAATAACCTATCGGACAATAGTGAATATATAAAACCACAAACCAATGGAGGTATTCGGTTTCCGTATCCTTTTGTCAAATCTGATTGGACAACAACAACTTTTGGAAGTTCTGATATATTAGGTTTGGCAGATGACCCTAATAGCTTAGAAAAAACTATGCTATTATGTTTCTTAACATATTGATTATATACTAGATCAAATTCTAAATATTTCACTTCCTCGTATTTCTTCACAGTATTCACATTCACTATATCCACATGGTTCCCATTTTCTACATTCGTGTGATTCGTTGTATTCTTTATATTCTCTACATTCGTGTGATTCGTTGTATTCTTTATATTCTCTACATTCTTAATACGATAAGTCTCGTCTGAGGTTATTAAATAAACTGATAAACTAAAAATGAAGGCCATCCAAAGAAGGAATAATTTGTACATAATATGTCGCATAGTGAAAAATTATATTGTGTCATATAAAGTAAAAGATATGCCAATATTTTTTGGATATACAGAGAATCTACTAGATTTTCTTCGTTGTTGGAGGATTGATTTAAAGTTAATTTTATAATGACTTTTATGCATGCAATTATAAATGCTTCACACAAATTTATTTGCACTCCTAAACAAACCCTAAAAAGGAAACCTCCCTTTTGGGAATTTCCGATGATCGACAAAATTAACCAATAGGATAAAATATCGGCAATAAAAAAATACACGATGTTAACATTAAAAATATTCCCATTCTTTAAATATAAAACCGTAACTTCGTTTTTACAATACTATAATAATTATTTGCCGTAAAAATTGTCAAAAAAATTATTAGTGCATGAAGTGAAACGATTTTTTAAATACTAATGTTGTATTATTGATTGTTACTATAACACCAGACATAGATTTGATTGATTAGTATATAAAGAACCTCAATTTCTGGTATACTAGTACTAACACAAATACTAATTGTAGAACCCAATTCCTGATATACTAGCACCAACACAAACACTAACTTTAATTGTATATACTACATCGAGCTATACTAAAAAGGGCTACGGGATAATAAAAAAATGAAAAACAATGAATTGGGGTAACTAGATGCCGTTCACAACGTACGTGCGTACGTACGTACGTACAATATATTCCTTTATTAAGCCACATGCTCGAATTTTTCATTGCGTATAACAATAAGATTGGAAACAATTATGCTTATGTAATATAATATATAGTAGAAGTATAAGATAGTATGTATAAGTATAAGATAGTATAAATATTACTATATAGTAATAAAACGGCGACGTTTCATAGGGCTGGAGCCTTATATATTAGGTGTTCAAATTGTTCAAATTCGAAATAAAAATTTTTAACATTATTTTTATGAATATTTTATAAGTTTAAATTGATGCGCATGTGAAAAGACAAAGTCCAATTTAATAATTTACAAAAAGTAATTTCTGCTCTTCAACTAATCTTTGTTGTAGACGTATACTTTCTCCCAATTTTTGTATCATAAAAAAAGCACTGCTGAAAAGAAGATCAGAAAGAGCACGGACTCTTGACACAGCTACGAATGTAAAACCTATAGCAAATTACTTATTGCCAATATCTAATACAGTTCGTGATAATGTTAAACCTTGCGACTTGTGAATCGTAATTGCACAAGAAAGTCACAATGGAAATTGCATACGAGAACCAGTTCCAGATTTTCTTTCCCATGTATACCTAATTGAGCGAATCGGTACTGCTTGTGAACTATTTGGCTATTTGGTGTAGGCAGTGTTAGACCTGTATAATTATCCATTTTAAGCAATATTAGTGTAGGCAAAGTGGGTGGCATCTTCCATAGTTCATATATATAATATCGATGACCATTCCCATTGCACCATTAACCAATCCATAATAATCAGTCAAATATAGAACCATCTTCTGGAAGAGTATGCAATATATCATGATCGATTTCAATACTGGAATAAAAAGAATTATGGATTTTAAGATAATTTAACCGGATTAAAATATTTGACCGTTTGGCATTAAATTCGTGAAATGAAATAAAATCTTGATTAGGTTTCGAAGAATTAAAGTATCAATCATTGAAGGATTTCAAGGTATCTTTGTAAAAGCTCTTGAATGTCTTGAGCAAAAGTTAATCACATGTTCTGATATCTAAGTTGTCCAACTTGGAGCTTGTAAACAGTTAACATTGGAAGGATTTGTGCAATAAACATTTCTTCCATATGGCTAAGTTGAAGAAGCTCAGGGAAATTTCTTCTGAAGATAAAACATTTTAGTTTTGCGTCTTTTTATTACCAATCAGTATATATATATAGTTTTATGCATCAGGATCCATATCATTCTCAGCTGAAAACCTTTTTATTAATTGTTCTCTACTGCACTTATTACATAATTCAGTCTTATGTACTAACTAGCTCTCAGACCCGGGTGCTGCTCTGGGGGCTTCGTATTAATTTTTTAATTTTAAGTTTTTTAAAATTTAAAAATTTATATATATTTTAAAAATATAGTTTAAATATATTTTTTTAAGTTTTTGATATTTTTTTTAGTTTTTTAGTTCTCAGGCTCAGGCATTGCTCTGGGCTTGATATTAATTTTTAGTTTTTAAGTTTTTAAATATTAGAAGTTTTTAGATTTTGTAATATATATTTTTAATATATAGTGTTATATATTTGTTTTTAAATTTTAAATAATAGTTTATTAATTTATTAACTCTCAAACTGGTATTGTTTCAGGGCTTAGTTTTAATTTTTTTAGTTTTGAAAATTATCAATTTTAAATTTAAGCAATATTTAGTAAAATAGTTTAATTTTTATGTTTTTTTAAATTTAGTTATTAGTTTTCTAGATGATGTTTTGGGTTTAATTTTTAATTTTTATGATTTTAAATTTATATTAAAATAATAGTCATAAAGTTTTAATTTGTAGTATTTGAAATATAATTTATATTAATAAAATAGTTTATTTATTAAAGTATTTATTAAAAGCATTTATTAATATAAAAAATATTAATTATAAATGCTTAAGATATATGCTATTGATAAATATATTATATATAATTTATTTTTAAAGTATAATATAATTAAATCTATTCTTAATCTACTTTAAACCTATTTTAATTCTGTACTAAATTTAACTCTAAATCTAAACCTAAACTCTAACCCTAATTCTAAACTGAATTTTAATTTTATATACTATAAACCTATCCTAAATTTGCCCTAAATCTACTCTAAATTTACACTAAATTTAACCTAAACCTAAATCTAAATTCTAACCCTAATTTTAAACTGAACTTCTAAACCTACCCTAAATCTATTTTAAATATACACTAAATCTAACTCTAAATTTAAAACTAAACTCTAACTCTAATCCTAAATCAAACTTTAATATAATTTAGTTAAAATAAATATCAATAGTTTTTAACTAATTTCTCAAAAACTATTTGACTAAATTAGCTAAAATTTTTATATATTGTAGATATATATTATATTTATTTGTATTTAAAATTTCATCCAATTTGAATTGTTTGTTGTTGAGAAACTTGTTTTCAAATTTAGTATAAATTTAAAAACTTATATATTAATATTATTAAAATTTTATAAATTTATATATAGATTCAGAAGTGATTTTTTCAACAATATTAATCCAATTTAGATAAACTTTTTACTAATAATAGTTATTATATATAGCTACAATATATTAAATTTTATTTAATTTGATTTACTGGTTCTTAGAAATTATATAAAAGCTATAAATAATTAAGTTAAAATAAATATCTATAGTTTTTAAATAATTTTTTAGAAACTACTTGACCAAATTAGCTGAAATTTTAATATTTTGCAGATATATATAATATCTATCTATATTTAAAATTTTATCCAATTTGGATTATTAGTTGTTGAGAAAATTATAGTTTAATAATTAATATAATTTATAATTTTTAATGAAACCTTTTTAAAATTAATTAATATAATACTTTTATTTTATATACAATTAATTAAATAATAATACTTTTAAACTATATACAA